ATACGTAGCCGATAATTTAAATGAGCCATGCCAGTATAATTACTACCATCATTGTGAATCAATCGAGGGTGATTGATGGCTCGTGAGATATACCTGTCACCATGGTCACTACATGACAGCTATAGTGCAGTATGAATTTTCGATATGGAAATCGATCACACATACCGAAAAAATATGGGAAAACTTCACAAAAATACCTGTAAGTAGCCGAATTTCCCTATTTTGGTTAACAGCACAATTAAAATAATTAAAAACAAGACTTTGAGGAAATAGTAGCAGTGACAATCTTTTCGTTCTCTCTGTGCCTCAAGATCATTCCCAATTCTTGTGTCCATGACCATTCAAACAGAATTGTATGACTTAGAAATTATATTAAAATTTGCACGATCAGCACGTGTTTCCGTATCGGACCATAGCGTAGAAATTAATATCCTACAAATTCCCAGGAATTTCTTTTTTTTTTTACATATTAGAGTACTATTTTTGTTATTTATATTGAATTCGCTCATAAATTATTGACTTTGTGAGAATCTAATAATAGCTGAAAAACATGAATATTCTCAGGTCGCAAAAATCAGCGCATGCGTGCATCGTCGATAGTAAGACCGAAGCAGATTGTACAATGAAACTCGAATCTTATCCTTTTTTTAGAATTATTTTCCTTAATGCTATTTCATTACAGCAACATACATAGAAAATGCATAAGACTATTGACATTTGAAACCACGGCACCCAACTCCCGGGCAATACCAGGCGAATAAGAATCTTAACATCCCTGCTTTTCTCTACCCTAAAAAGGGGGTTTAAACAGGTCCTTTCCTTTGATTTTAATATCAATTCACGCCTTCCAGTAGATTAGTGCTGTTACTAAGGTTGTCAAATCCCTGGTTATGGAGTGCTAATTCCYCGTCACTCCGGGGAAGTGCTAATTCCCCGGTTGGTGGGCCGGAGTCTCAATTGACTGATGCGGGCTTTAGATACTGTTTGACTTCGGTAATTTCAAGATTGAGTATGAAATATTAAAAGCTTATTTGGCTAGAATGAAATGAAGAATGCACGCAACCGAAATTCATCGTAATAATTGTTTYTACCGACTGGAAATCACGGAGTTCCCCTTACTACTGCCTTGTTTCGATCGTATCTACAATCTTTGACCGAAAAACCTTTTTCTTAAATTGCTATATAGCCATGTTTCTCCGATAGCGAATTTATTTATTTTTATTATTATTTTTGTTTATTTATTTATTGATTTTTTCTATTTATTATTTTTTATTTATTTATTATTTTTTTCTAAAAAGAAATGTCTACCATTTCGGAAAACAGAAAGACTGCGTAATTCTATGTCCTTATTAACAAGATGTTCGTGAAGTCACTTTAAAAAATTAATGCAAAGTCAAGTTGCTTAGTAAGTTGTGAACATGTTCTGTCGTCAAGAGTGTCAAGAGGCGAACATGCAGCTCAAAACTGTGCTTTCCTTGTTTGAATTATCATATTTTAAGCTTCAGATTTTTGAGCTGATGAAATATATGTAAACTTTCAACTGAGCACGCAAGATATGCTGGGATCAGTTAGTATTATTGACAAATTCTAATAATGCAATCTTTTTTCGAGAATTGTATTGATAAACTCACCAGATATCTTTTTCCTTTTCAAAATACTAAATAAACAAGTTCAAAGCTCTTTACAAATAATAATAATGATAAAAATGTCTTGGGAAGAACCTGAATTTGACTCTTATTTTGTTTGCTAGATTTTATGAATATGGCGAAATATCAACAGCAAAACAAACACATTTAAATCTTTTTGTATTACCGTAAATAAAATAAATGCCGACTATCACCAAAATCAGTTTTGCTGATAAACCAATCATTAAGCACATATAGTCTATATTGAAAGATTTTCAAAAGACGATGCAGAGCGATTATTTTTTGCGTATCCGGTACTGTCCGCCTTTTATTTTTCATMAAAAGGAAACCTCCAGGCCAAATGTATTGTTCGCTTGAGATTTCGAAATCCACACTCAGTCGTCTTGTATCCCAACAATAATTTCTAAAGATTGGAAAAGACGTTTATATTATTAAAGAGGACAAAACGACTTGCTTTTCGGCTCGCATTGTGTATTGTTTATAATAAGGAAGAAAAAAAAATGAATTTAGCTAAGCTCATTTTCTCTGTGTTCATAACATAAAGAATGAGACTGAAATATTCTTTTATCATGCCGAAATCTAGGCTGCTGTACTTTTATGTACGATTTTAAGTGCCCATAAACACGATTATTTAACAAAGACTTGTATATAAGATGTCATTTTATTATTCATTGAAGTTCTGGCACTTTTAAAAGTACAGGCACCCACTTACGAACATCTGTGCTTTTAATAAAACTAACCATGAAAAACACAAAATGGTCAAATTAAAAAACTGCCAATTATATTTTCAGTCTAACAAATTTTGCAATGGAAATGAAATTGTTCCCTCTTTACTAAAACATAGGTAAATTTTGAGGGGATATTATTTAGATATCAACAAATTTGCAGGGATACACGTACAATAACATAAAGAATTAAGCGATGGCATTGATTAAAGTTTTGACAAAGAAATTAAATTTCATTGTATTYTGCCACCATGAAAGGCGGAAGGTATTCATCTTATTACGAATAGATATTAAAGAAACAAAAGGCTGCGTGAAGAACTACATCTTAAGATATAAAAATAACGACTTTTACCTACTGGTAGCTATGTGAACTGTTTGGCAGATTTCAATCTTCAATWGGAGAAACGAGTGGTTGTCTTTCTCGTATTTTCTTACTGAAAGCCCTCACCAATTCAAACGAGTTTTTGTCTGCGCAAACATTGACCAAAGAACTTCAATTTCAAACAACAAGTGCTACTTTGAAGCTTGTTTCAAAGGCTTGTCGACTGGATCAATCAACGTCAAGGACTTGCTGTGAGCTGCTATACGATTGGTAGGCACAGTCTCACATTAAACGCACCTGCGCTATGACTAAGGGCTGCTAGTTGGGCTGCCTGCGGTCATTCGGTWTGACAGGATTCTTCCAGGAACTCTTGGATAGATAACTCAATTTATTTAAACGATTTATTTGGAAAAAAGACTTTTTGATAGCGGGAGATTAAGATACCCCAGTTTCATTTGATGGGCTTATTGGCCAATCAGAAAGCGTGTGTCATTCGACCAAATTCACAAATAAATGTAATTAATTCCGAATCAGAAAGCGTGTGTCATTCGACCAAATTCACAAATAAATGTAATTAATTCCGAATGTTTTCATCCATTTTTGGACATAGATATAAATATATAGCTGGTACAAATGTTTACCTATAGAAGTTTTAAATGTTCTAGAAAAAGTGTGCATGAGTCGGTGCACAGTCAAGCAGTTGTGCCATAGAATAGAAGATAAGTTCAAACAGCGTAAAAAAAGAAGAAGATCGAAAATATTTTGGTTCTTCATTATCATTGATGATAAAATGATAAACCATAAAAAAGAGAGAGTTATACTCCCGTGCGGTAGCATAGTTAATATGGCGGTAGTTAAAGTGATTTATACATCTTGATAAACAGAGAAAATGATAAAATGCTAAACGAGTAAAAAAGGGAGTTTTGCTGACGTCGACAACGATAATCCTAATCATGAATCCTATAGGCAAAGTGTTACATAACATGATTACGTAATATCGCTTGAAATTTATGAAATATGATACAGTGGCTTAAATGTCACTTACATATAAACTGAGTTAAAAGCCTCTCGTGACAGAAACAATCTGTATGTTGCTAACTCAGCATGTTCTTCATCCGCTTACGATTGTGCATTTTTCAAAGGGTGGTTTATGTTTTCAAAGGGTGGCATCTATAGCAGCGTGTGATTGATTATATTCAGATAAATATCATTTTCCGAAAAGGCTGTAATAATATTCACCCATAAGGCAAACAATACCATTATTGGAAATGCGATTCGACGTGGGATTATCAATATTTCCAAAAGGAAAATGAGAAAAAAGAAGCCTCCAGACACGTAGAACTTTTAAGCCATGCTCTTAGAAAGTGTATCCATCACCAGGGCAAGTGAAAATGCATAATTGTTATTAAGGAAAGCATATTATTGTTACCATAAATAAGTCGTGTTTGTTTTTCTTCATGTTTTCAAGCGGAGCAGCCGGAAAATTATCCAAAACACCTTTCGCAGGCGCACTGACTTTTCTCACTGACGACACCAAACCTTTTTACCTTGAACAAGCCGACGGCCTACGGCACGGTTTTGAAATGCAGTGATTTTTTTCTGTTTTTTGATTTTTTTTCTAACTTTGCATTGTAACGAATACTAAATCAGCTTGAACTTCATTGGTTTTTTGTTTTCCTCTCAATCTTATCTGTATTTTTAAATTCAACGCCTAACAGAGACAAAGTTTAAATTCCATTTTCTTATTATTGCCTATTTCCAACTCAAAAAGTCCATATTTGCCTAGTGACCCAAAAGGAAGTTTGTACCCAAGCTACACCAGAATACAATTGGCTATGCTAGTTCCAACCTTTGTTATCCTTCTAATCTTCCTATTATTTTGTTTATTAACCCTGCATGGACTGATCCCGTTACCCAGTTATTTTGCTGAACGAATCAAAGCAATCATTGGGCCTGAATTTGCCCACACACCCACACATATAATAGATGCATGACACGTGATTTAGAAGAGTATTTTTAACGATTCTGGTACACTAGCTATCTTTGAAATAAGTCTTGTGCTCCTCGCTCAATCGAGGGAAACGAAAGC